CATCATGCTCACTGGAAAGTCTGGAGCTCCTGCAGGGTTCATCTCTGCCAAAACGCAAAACAGGGTCCAAAGCAATCGAAACAACAATCGAAGAACCTCCAAGTTCGGACAACTTGGATGCCGTCTCGCAGGATCGCTTGCAAACGGGTCGCATAGCAAAGGACATCAGACCCCAATCCAAACCAAGCAAACCAGGAAGCGTGATGGTCAAACCGAGGTTGATCAGCCCTTTTTTCTTCAAAACTGGCCCGAGTTTGACGTATTGTGTTGAACGACAATTGGAATTCTAGTCATAGGTGGTATGCTACACGTGATACAGATATGGCTAGTGACGTGTCCATCAGGTGGTAAGCACTTAATGCACGGGCAAAACATTTCTCAAGTGATGTTTCCCATCCTGCTGGATTTCTGGACTTGCCCGGCGGGCGGTCTGGCAGATCTCAGAAGTGGATCTGCCAGAGCGCCAACTGACCGGAACATGTCTGGTCTTTGCCCAGCCATGCCATACCAATCCCCACAAACACGTCGCTCAACCCTTCTCTTCACCATTTCGCCCTGCCACTCCAAGTCCCCTTGTGAAGCGCTAGTAAGGCCAGGAGCTAGTAGTGAATCTGAAGGTGAAGAGGCTTTAACCAGTCTTAATCTGCTTTCTGCCCAAAAAAATACGCATATCTCGTGGACTTCTCCACAGAGCCCACCCACCCCTGGCCGAGCCAAAACATCAACCCGCCCAGACCCGTGAAGCGCCTGGGTGACCCGTGAAGCTGGCCAGCGCGTGGGTAATCACCCGGAAGTCGGAAGCGCCCAGGCCTCGGAAGTCGGAAGTCGTGGGCGGTGAGATGATAGCGAGATGTGATGAGTCATGATGAGTCATAAGATGTGATGGTTGTTATTTCATGACTAATTTCCACATGTGATGCTTGGTTGTCCAGTAGGAACGTGTGACAGCTTGTGGTTTGATGTTGCACCCCCATCTCAACAAGGTCGTAGAATTGGTAATTAAGGACATCTTCAAGATGAGCCAAGATCACAAGCCCATCGCATCAATTGCACTCGCGCATCACCGAACGCTCATGTGCCTGCAGTCACCTCGGCCGCCTGAGTCAGAGCGTCGAAGAAGCCGCGGCGCACGAGCTGCAGCTCGTCACGGCTGCGGGGAAAGCAAATCACAGCGACCAACCTCAGGAGATCCGTTGGAAGCCATTGATAGCAGGTTGGAGGCCATTGCTAGTAGGTTGGAGGCCATGGTTGGTAGGTTGGAGGCCATTGCTAGTAGGTTG